TAGAGAAAAGGAACGTGGGGGGAAAGGGGGGGGGGGAGGTGGATTCGTTTCATCTTTCGTAAATACAGCCGCAACAACTTTAAATATTGCCAAGCCAAACCGCATACTTTTTTTTTTGTGTAGTTTATTTTTTTTTCTCCTTTTTCTTTTTGGTGAAGGATGGTCTAACCACTAAGTTCTCGCATCCATAAAATCATACTTTTGGCCATTTGCCAAAGCTACTGTAGATCTTGTATTGTGGAAAAAGAGACTTCTACATATACCCGTCTATTGAATTTGATTATCCTCCTTTTTTTTCCCCCTAATATCGAGAAATTATCTTTAGAAATTAGTAGAATTTATGATTTTATTAACTATATCAATTAGATTACACGTTATTTAAAATCTAATTTAACACTTTTTTTTTGAGTATTTAATAAAATTGGATTATTATAAAACAATGAATTTATCACTCCGTGGTATTTTAATAATTAAAATTACAAATCTGAAGTCGGATTTTAAAAATTCAAAATGGCGGATCCAATATGGCGGACGAATTTTACAAAAAGTGATCTAATTTGCTTGAAACTCGTTACTCGGGGGTTTTCGGGGTCGCTGATTACGAATAATAATAATAATAAATAATAACAATAATTTTGAAAAATGGGTTTTAAAGCTAAAGAGGTCAGATTCGTTTTCAGCGCATAAAAAACTACCAGAAACAAGTACAGCCATTCTAGAAACTCACCCTAGCAGGACTGTGTTATTTTATTATTATTTTGTTAATATTTTTTTTTTTTAATAAATAAAAATTTTATTCGGAAAATAGAAAATTGGAAATGAAAATAAACACGTTTGATTGCAAATAATGATAAATATTTAACGATCATGTTAATTAAAATGTAAAAATGATACTATAAATTAAAACAAGATAAGATCAATGAAATATTGGTCTTATCAGCTATATTAATAAAAATAAAAAAAAATTTCCACGCCAATAAATTTCTATGTACTGTATAAATCAGAACGCGTTATATATATATATATATATATATATATATTTCTATTTTTCTCTTTCTTTTTATATAAGTTCTTAGTACTATTCAATACTTCTTGTGGAAAATGGCTGAGCAGCAATTTTCAAATCGCAGGAGCTTTTCAATTGAAATTACTTTAGATGTCGGTATTTTTTTTCTACAATGCATAAAAAAAAGTGAATGTATATATACATAAAAAGATTTCGTTTGTGTACTGCGCCAAGAAGTAACGTTTGTATTTGATTTTCAATGAATAAGTTCGCGCACAAATATACTCCAAAGAATGAAAAATAAGAATAATATATATTTTTTAACGAGAAAATACAAGGACCACGGTTCAGCTTTTTAGATTCGATATTATTTGAAAATTCAATTCATTTTGCAAAAATGTTTATAAAAATTAGAAAATTAGTTTCTTATATTGGAAAAAACAAAAAAATTGTTTAAAAATTTAGAAAAACTTTTGCGAATGTTTTTTTTTTAATCTCATTATTTTTGAAAAGATGCTGCATTAGATTTTTAGTATTATGTTTTTCTAAAGAAATCTGTTTAGATTTATCTCAATTATTTATGACTGAAATTTTAAAGGCGGATTTTATTGGAGCAAAACAAAATTATTTTTTTTTTCGTTCTACATCCTAATATAGAAAATTCGCGTTTCAAGTCGTTTTGGTGATGAATCGTTGTTATTTGTTATTCACAAAGTCAGCTGTAGATGATGAGGAAATCATTATGGCAACGGGAGGCCAGAAGCGGCTATAAGCTGGATATATGCTAGGCACGTGAGACTTTAGTATTTCAGTTGCCATATAATAATATGCTTTCATCGTATAAATTCGAAGCAGATATTTGGTTACTAAAATAGAATTTAAAGGCGCGAGTATGCTTTATTATTCGCATCTTCTCTTTTGGAACCAATATTAATTTTTTTGATTTTGTTTAAAAAATAAATGTTATTTTTTTTTTAAATAAATTTTTAAATAAAGAAATCACAAAGCTAAATGAGGATATTTTTATGGTTTATCAAATGGTGTGAAAATTCGATTTTTTGTATTAAAATTCAAATATTTGGAAAGTCTATATGACTGGTATTTTTTTTACCACTGAAATAAAAAATTAAAAAGAATTTTAACTGTCTGGACAAAAGACATTTTTACTACTGGTTAATTATTATGTTATTATTTAAATAATATTTGTCTGACTAAAATGGTTTTTTTCCACTGATATTAAAATTATAAGTAATTAAATCGTAGTGTCTGACTAAATACGATTTTTACTACTTAGAAATGAGTTAAAGTTTTTTCGTATGACTAAAACGGTTTTTTACTACTTATACGAAGGTAAATAATTTTTCACTCTTTGTCTGATTAAAACTTGTCTTTACTACTTATAGAATTGTGTTTTGTCTGACAACAACGGTCTTTTACTACTGACTTTTAGAAAACAAACCCGTCTGACTAAATTTGAGATTCACTACTGATACAAGAAATATGAGTTTTTTAACTGGAACTTACCGTTACTACTTATACAAGAAGTTAACCTATTTTGTCTGACTAAATTAGACTTTTTCTACTTGTATCCGATAAACGAAAATGATTATATTGTCTGACTAAAATCGTTTTCACTACTGATAGAAATAATTTTACTCCTTGCCTAACTGTAACGGACCTTTACTACTTATGTAAAAAATTACCTAATTTTGTCTGACCAAAATAGACTTTTACTACTTATATAATCGAATGTCGAAAATAATATACACATTGTCTGACTAAAATCGTGTTTTACTACTGATAAAAGGAATTTTTTTTTGTCTAACTGTACCTTGTAATTACTGCTTATGTAAAAGTTTAAATTGTTTTGTCTGACTAAATTAGACTTTTTCTACTTGTATCCGATAAACGAAAATGATTATATTGTCTGACTAAAATCGTTTTCACTACTGATAGAAATAATTTTACTCCTTGTCTAACTGTAACGGGCCTTTACTACTTATATAAAAAATTACCCAATTTTGTCTGACCGAAATAGACTTTTACTACTTATATCCGAATGTCGAAAATAATATACACATTGTCTGACTAAAATCGTATTTTACTACTGATAAAAGGAATTTTTTTTTGTCTAACTGTACCTTGTAATTACTACTTATGTAAAAGTTTAAATTGTTTTGTCTGACTAAATTAAACTTGTACTACTTATTTTTAAAAAACCAAGAATAATCTACAAACAAACAATCGACTAAAATCGCCTTTTACTACTTAGACACTGGAAAAAAATTTATTTGACTCAAATAATCAGTTACTTAACTATTGTCAAATAAATAAAATAATAATTTTTATTTGAATTAAATAAACTGTATTTGAACAAATAATTTATGTATTTGAAACAAATACAATTCTATTAAAATAATTATAATTTCATTAAATTATTATTATTTGACCTAATTAAATGTTATTTATTTCTAATACAGAAATTATTCGTTCAAATACAATTTATTTAATAAAAATAAAAATTATTTACTTAATGTAAATATTTATTCAATACTCAATCGAGTATTTAATACAAATAAATATTTATTTGTTAATAGTTAAGTAATCAATTATTCAAAGCAAATAATTTTTTTTCAGTGTATTTAATTTTTTTCCTAACGAGAGATTAATAAACCATAAAATTTCCTACATTAAGATAAATTATTTATATTTTGTCATACTAAAATGTTTTTTTCAATTTCCAAATATTAAAATTTGGGTTTTAAAATATGAAATATCGAATTCAATTAATATTTAAATTTTTTTTTCAAAATTTTGTTAATATAAAAATATAAAAAAAATATAATAAAATCAGGGCAATCGTATATTCATAAAAAAAGAATCACATCTTCCTTTTTTTTTTTTTTTATTTTTATTAAAATGATTTTTCTTCACCGTGTATTTTTATTGTCTCGTCTCATCGAGATTTCACTATATGGAAAAAGAGAAATAACTTTCATTCCGTACGAAATCTTTTCGTTTTCGCGTGGCTTTACAGGAATATTGTATAGTATAAAAGTGCGGTGCATGTGAATCAGCCGAGCATAAGCTTCTCAGTGTCGAACGTGTGCACCAGCGACTTTTTGTGTTTTCGACAGTAGTCAGCGGAAGCTCAGAAACTTTATAGAATTTTTATTTATTTTTTTATTTATTTTTTTTTTGCATATGTATTATTATAAATATAAATTCAATTGCATATTTATTTACACAGTTATTATAAATATAAATTTAATAATATAATTTACGTAATTTTTTTGGGTCGAATTTTTGCTATATATGGGTTTAAAAGTAAAGGGGAAAAAAAGTTTTTGAGCTCCCCAAGCTTTTTTTGCGATTGGATAAAGCTTATTGGCGCTTTTTATATATATATATATTTGTATGACTCAAGTTAAGTGAGATTTCAACTCTTTTGCCGTCTTCCACTTTTTTTTGGGGGTATTTTTATTCTCCTTGAGTTATTTAGAATAAAAATTTGCTCTCTCGTGACCGCTTTCATGAAGATAATACTATTTTTCAGGGATTTGTCGAGGTAGTGCTTTTCAAAAGGAAGAAAAAAAAAAAACCATAAATATTTTCATATTTGTATGTTAATATATATTTTTGTTAAAAGAGATTTTTCTCTTTATGTACAATAAATTGTACTTATATATATATATTACAAAAATGTGTATACACTTTCTTTTTCCATTATGCAAAACTTTAAAATAAAAGGTCCTTTATCTTTTGTCAACGCTAGCGCGGCTTTTCATGATACAAAGATTTTCAATGTTCATGATGTATAAAACGAAATAGCATTTTCATATATATTTTGACATTGTTATTATGTATATTGTCGTTTACAAAATGTAATGTCTTTAATTTAAAATTGTATTTTTTTTTTATTTTTTAAAATACTTTTTAATATTACAGTTGTATAAGAGAATTTTATTAAAAAATTAAATTATTTTTATTTCAGATACTTCAAGGAATATTCAGGTGAGTTTTTTTTTTAATTAAAAAAAAATTTATTTTTTATAATTTTTTGCCCGCGAGAAATCGTTGATCATTTTAGGCGAAATTAAAGTTTACACGGGAGCTGATATAACAATGTATATAGAAAGAAAATAAATATTTATTCGACTGAAACAAAATATTATTTAGTAAAAATTAATATTTATTTAAAAATAGTTAAAATTAACCATATATTTGAATCAAATAAATTTTGTTTGTAAATGATAAGAAATTTTATTAAATCCTTGTATTAAATTTTGTAAAAAAAATTTCCGAAGCTCTAGAATTTTTTATATATGAAAAATTATGCTTTTTAGAATATTTTTTCACGATTGGAAAATAATTTTATAAAATTTGGTATTTATTTTCCACGAGTGAAAAGTAATTTTTTTAAAATTTGATATTTACTTTTTCACGATTTGAAAATAATTTTATAAAATTTGATATTTATTTTCTTTCCGTGTATTGTATAGCTATATATGAAATTGAGGTCATTTCTGGCATTTATGACAGTAAGATATAACGAATGACCATCATCTGTTCTATATTACACGTATCAATGATGTTACATAAATCGATGATCGTAATATCGCGATGGGCGGCATAAAGCGAATGCCAACTGATGACGTTGACAACTTGTTGCACGGGCATATACTTTTCACGTAGGAATCGTCAAATAAATAAAGCTACAAAGTACATATAAAAAAAGAAAAAAAAAAAATTAGAAATTCTATGTGTATATATTGAAATTATATTCTGTTTATTATCTATCGAGCTCACGGGGAATATCTTTGCTGTTATAGCTGTAAGGCTCATTTCCCTGTCACTTCCAGAAACTCAATAAAGCTTATCACAATACACACAGATATTCAGTTTCTACTTTGTGCAACAAATTAACAGAGTTTAATCTGTTTTGTAAACCTGTTTTCTACTGTTTGGCAAGTTTAATAGCAAAGACTTTATGTTTATGGATTTTACATTCTTTTTTTTTTTATGGAGTTTTCCTCTTTTTGTCATTTTTGTGTTTTTTTTTTTGTTGTTGCACTACCGTTATCGCTTTGCATTTTAATTAACTGATTTTTTTTACGGTGCAAAAAAAAATTATTATCCCTTTTTTGTGATAAAAATATTATGTTTGATTTTTTTTTTTTTATTGAGACTGAAAAGTCCTATTTTTGAAAAAAGTGAAGTTTTTTTTTTCAGTAGTAGCATAAATTTTTAGTGAGACAAATTTTTTCTTTATGGTAATTTTGTACCTAATACTACTAAAAAAATACGTTATTTGACTGAAACTTCCTTTTACTACTCATTCATAATTTACAATTTTGAACGCTTGTCTAACTAAAACTCCCTTTCACATACTGATACAAATGTAAGAAAAAAAAATGTCAAAAAAAAATCCATTACTACTGATAATTATTTGGCAAAATTTATTTTTTGCTTTGTCTGACCAAAGTTGAATTTTACTACTTGCTGGACTAAAAAACCAAAAAATAACATTTTATCTGACTGAAAGTATCCTTTACTACTGATTTTTATTACAAAAAAAATTTTAATCATTGTCTGACTAAAAATAACCTTTACTACTGATATTTACGAAAATTCTAAACGTTTGTCTGACTAAAATCGTCTTCTACTACTAAAAAATTTTTTTAATTAAAATAAATGTCTGATTCAAACTAGTTTTTTCTACTAATACCGCGATGGCAAAAATTATTTATTGCTTTGTCTGACCAAAATTGAATTTTACTACTTATTCCCAAATAACTAGTGCTAGTTTAGTTTATTTTAGACAATTTACAACAAAAAAATTTTATTATTTAATAATTTTTTTTTATTATATCCTTATTCCATCTTGAAAATATATTGAGCATTTGAAATTCTAGGACAAAAATTCATTTGATTCAAATAATTCATTGACTATTATTAAAAAAATATTTACTTGTAATTAAATAGTTATTATTTGTGTTAATTAACAAGTATTTGTTTCAAATACAAAAATTATTGGTTTAAATATAGTTTATTTAATCGCGTAAATTAAATAAACAATTAATTATAATTAATTATATAATTGTAATTTTAAATAATTTTTATTTACAAATAAAAATTATTCTTTTAAGTAAATATTTATTTAATAATTCATTAATTAATGAATAATTTAAATGAAATAAATTTTTTCTTCATCATTATATATATATATATATTGTGAATTATGCGTTTAAAAGAAAAATTATCAAATATATAATTAGCACAAAATGGGAGGTCTAATTAAAAATTCCGATTCACGTTCACGCTTGATAGTCGTATAATTAAAAATGCTTTTTAGGAAATGAAATAAAAGTGATAAATCGTTTTTCAATAAAGAGACGTTAATCTCACGTTGATAGGAGAGAAGTTAAAATTGGAAGGCGCATGGAAATGAAGCAGGTGCTTTAGAATCATCAAATTATCGTCTCCAGAGAGATTCGAATGCATTATATGATCGCGGTTATTTCTCATCTTACCATATAAGTGAGAGTGAGAGAATATTGCTATCGGGGTTCGATCACAAAAGCGGTTTATATCACGAGTTCCTCTTTAAAAATGTAATATGTATACAAAAAAAAAATATTATAAATAGAAGATGGCAGAAAGTTTGATTAATATTTTTTTTTTTTTTTTATTTTCTCTTTTGATCTTTTCTCATCACTTTTGCTTTTTGTTTACCTTCTTATGAAGAACAGCGCGACTGAAGAGTACGCCCCAAGCAGCAAATTTAATTTATTCATTTTTAAGATTCGTTTTTTTTCTTTTTTTTTATTATTAAATTGAGAATAGCAATACCGCTTTGCCTATCAATTTTTCACACGCTCTTTTATTGTTTCACGCATACAAGCTCAAAACGGAAACGATAAAAATATGTTGAGCTGTATTTTGATTTTTATTTCCTCGTAAACCACATCATAAACACTTTGTGTGATTTTACTTAAAAATAATTGTAAAAAAAAATGGATTTTTAGTATTAAAAAAAAAAAAAAATTTAGATGCATTCTAAAATAGTATATAAACTGAAAAAAATTTATTTAAATTCAAATAAATATTTATTTGTAGCAAATAATTATTCTTCGAGTCAATTAAATCGTATTTGATTCAAATACAAAATAATACAGAATAAAAAAAAAAAATTTTGATTTAGTATTAACAGGACGTTTAACTGGGTGCTTAATACAAATTTAGTACTTCAATTTTCGGTTTGGAGAGGCAAAGCGGTAAGCCACAATTTCGTTAGACGAGTTATTATTGATTAATTCATGTTTAATGGATCGGTTTCTGTATAGTCCGACCATCGCTAAATTATTCAACGAAATTATTATCTTCACGTACGTGTTTTTCATGTATATGTCATTTTAATCAGAGACTGTCGGATATTTGATCAAGTGTATTGCAATATTTAATATGAGAGTGTACTCTCACATCATTAACATACGAAAATTTTATAAACGTATGGAGATTTAACTGAGATTTTTTATTTTTTTTTCATAAATTTTCTCATTGATGTTGTCAATTTTTTTTTACTGACTTTTACTACTGAAAAAAAAATAAATTAAACAATAATTCAAATTGATTTCTCACTACTGATATTAAATTTATAAATTTAATTTAAAAATTTACAAAAATGTCTAACTAAAACTGTTTTTTAATTATTGACACTAAAAATCGATTGAATAAAAAATGTATTGTTTCACTGAATCTGACTTTTACTACTGGATACTAAAAACAAAAGAAATTAAATAGTTTGACTCGACATCGTCATTTTTAACTGCAGATAGAAAAATTACAAAATTTTAAAGTTTGTCTGACTTAATATGTATTTTACTACTTATTAGTTATTAGGAAAAAATTTCGCTAATTTTTAATAATTGGCTAACTAAAATGGTTCTTAACTACTGATATGTGAATTTTAGATTTTTCCCTAGTTGAAAGTAAACAAATGACTACTACTTAATTTGAAAGAAACGTTAACAGTCTGACTAAAAATTGTTTTACCTACTTGTACAAGAATTTAGATAATTTTGTCTGACTAATACGATTTTACTACTTAGACGAGAATTCAATCTATTTTGTCTGACATAAACGGCGTTTTACTACTGATATCAAAACAAATAATTTTTGACACTTTGTCTGACTGTAACTTGTTTTTACTACTTTTACAAGATTTTAAAATTATTTTGTCTGACTAAAACGTTCTTTTACTACTGTTTCCAATTGTTTGACATTGTCTGACTGAAACGGTGTTTTACCACTGATATGAGGACAAATAATTTTTTTACCTGTTTGTCTGACTGTAATTAAGCTTTACTACTTGTCAAACTAAAACGCTTTTACTACTTATAAAAGAATTTAATCTCTTTTGCCTAACTAAAACGGTCTTTTACTACTGACATCAAAACAATTAATTTTCCCCTCTTTGTCTGACTGTATATTGCCTTTGCTACTTACGTATACAGAGAATTTGAACTACTTTGTCTGACAAAAAAGGTCTTTTACAACTGTTTTAAGATTTTGCCAATGAAAAAAATTGTCTGACTATATTTGACGTTTACTACTTATGTTACTAGTTAATAATAAAAATTGTTTGAATCTTTTAAGTAGTAAAAGCATGTTATAGTCAGACGATTTTTTTCGTATTTTAACTATTTTGTCTCACTCAAATTGACTTTTACTACTAATTCACAAATTACAATTTTCAACTCTTGTCTGACTGAAAATCTCTATTACTACTTAGACAAAAATTGTAAACTCTTGTTTGACTAAAAATACCCTATACTACTAGTAATTACAAAAAATTCTAAACATTTGTCTTACTGAAATCGTCTTCTACTGTTATTAAAATTTTTTTTTATGAATTACAATAAATGTCTGATATTCTCTAAATCTGAATTAGTAAAAATGTTTACTAATTTAAATTAGTGACTCACTTTTTGCTTCTGAATTAGTAAAATTTT